CGTGACCAATGGAGTTCAATCCTGTCGGGCGAAGGCAGTAACTACCAAAGACAAATGGGTGAGGTCGCGCAAAATCCATAGATCAATCAGAGTTAGACATTAACATCGTTGGATGCCGGCCCGGTGGTCCGATGTTTAGGCGTTCGCGCACAATATCGAGGGTCCCGGGTTCGGATCCTGTGAGGTGCAGGAGTCGTGGATGCGCAGTGCTGATGAGTCCCATACCAGGAGGAAACGGCCTACCAGTGCTTCCATGTTTCTATTAGTGGTCTAGCAATGATGATTTCAAATCTGTAAAAACACAAATCTCCAAAGCTCTAACTGAAAATAATCATTTCATTTTATTGCTAATCACCCTGCTAATCGATTAATGTTCAGTCAGTCAGTTAAACAATATCGATCGTTGAGACCTCTATTCACTATTGTGTGTTTTGTAGAACTAAGCTCATGTTTATTTACTTCGTAGAAAAAGTTGTATTCCCGTTAAAGGTATCTTTATGATATTTGAAAAACAAATTCAGGTCATTGATTGATTGATAATAAGCTGGGTAGATTGATTGAAATTCAAACTCATGCCTTAGAGCAATTAACAGAATGAACGATTTCAACAAAAAGCGTTTTTCACGAAATTTGAGGTCAAACTACACTTTATGCAATGAATGAGTGTTGATCGTTAATGTAGTACTCACGATTAAGAGGATGAGATTAGGCAAGAAGAAATCTACAAAGACTGACGGGCTGTAGTGTCTGAACCATTCAACTTTTTGAAATATGAGAGCATTATATCTGAATAAGGTATAACAAGGATGAAGCCTCATAAATAGTGTACTCTTTCTTGATATCCCCCTGCCATCGGCTTGTACACTTATGTTTGTAAATATGGTATGAACTGGTTTGATTGTGATTTCTAAGCTGATCACATTGAAATCTGTCACTGGAAACATTGAAGAGGAAGTAAGATCAATATAATTGTAGAACTTGACTGAAGAGATTCGAATCAGCGAAGATACACTTCGCTTGTCAGTTCTAAATGTTATTTTTAAGAGATATAAACACGAAAACTACTTATCATCGTTGATCGAAAAAAATACTGAAATTTTCATATCATGTAAATGTGTGATACTTTTTACGAAAAATCATGAATACAGTCAAACAAAATACCGCCTTACTTATTTACTTACGCCTGTTACCCACAATTGAGCATAGGCCGCCCACCAGTATTCTCCAACCAACTCTGTCCTGGGCTTCCCTCTCCAGTTCTGTCCAATGTTTGTTCATTCCACTCATGTGATTCTCCATTTTTCGGCGTAGTGTGTTCTTTGGCCTTCCTCTTTTCCTTTTGCCCTGAGGGTTCCATGTGAGGGCTTGTCTCGTGACGCAAGTGGGTGCTTTCCACAGTGTGTATGTCCTATCCACTTCCACCACTTCTTCCTGATTTACTCCTCCACTGGAATCTGGTTTGTTCTATCCCACAGTAGTTTGTTGCTGATGGTGTCTGGTAAACGGATCCTCAGTATCTTGCGTAGACAACTGTTAATAAAAACTTGCATTTTCGGGATGATGGCTTTTGTAGTTCTCCAAGTTTCCGCTCCATACAGTAGAACTGTCTGGACATTTATATTGAAAATTGTGATCTTGGTGTTCGTTAACCCTAACCAGGCCCGGATAAAGGAGGAGGGTTGTTCGTGGAGTTAGTGTTGGGGACATTAGATCCCTAGAACTCGCTTCATAAATGCCTCATTTTGGATTTCACATTTGCCAGCATGGGCTCATCAGTTGACTTTGAGATTTCATTTCCCACCAGGAAAATCCAAGGCCGTGATTGACTGCTATGTAATTGAGTGTGCTATTTTCTTAACTATCCCAAGAACGTTTCTATTATGTATAAATAAACGAGATTTGTGTACTTGATTGTATTGTGATTGCTGGGTGTTTGCAGAATATACTTTCTACGCTTATCAAGACTTCTGTTTTGCAGTTGGGGATCAAGGTAGCCTACCTGTACGCTGTTTCATTGTCTCGTTCACGTTTATCGACTAAGGTGAACTCGTCGTAATAGCTTCAAGCGTACCTAGTGACGTACCTAACAGTTGGCGACCCCATCTCACAAAAAAACTGACTCGCCAAAAAAATAACGCTAACCAGAAAACATAATTAAAATTACCTCATCAATAACTTAAATAATCGAATTATTCAATGTAATTATTCATGACTGACCTGACCATTAGTAAAGTTGTGTTTAACATTCATCAGGACAGCAGAATGTGGGTTTTATCAATGTAAACATACATCATGAAAATGACCTGACAATGTCAAAGGGTTTTTTTTTGTACTGATTTAAGTATAACTGATTATTTCAAAATAAATTCATGTACAACTTATGAATAATGGGTAGTTTTGGCGTGATTTGAAATGTTGATTGATGTTAGAGAGAGAGAGAGAGAAGTATATTAATAGTATGTTTGTAGTTCGCAGTCACAATCAAACAGCTTACTTACTTACTTACTAACTAACGCCTGTTACCCTCAGTGGAGCATACAGGCTGCCGACCAGTATTGCTCAACCTACTGTTTCCTGGGTTTCCCTTCCCACTTCTGTCCAAGTTTTGTTCATTCTTCTCATGTCTATCTCCATTTCTCGGCGTAATAGGCTCCTTCTCCTTCCTCTTTACTTTTGACCTTCAGAGTTCCAAGTGAGGGTTTGTCTTGTGATGCAGATGGGTGAATTTAACAGACGCATGACTAATGAATACTACATTACATAGCAATCACGAATCGATCAATGTTAGGCCATGATTAGACAACTGGAAGCACTAGATAGCTGTTTCGTTCTACTGTGGCACTCATGAACAGTGCAACTCCATACACGGACACTATACCTGAATACCACCAAGCCGACTTTCAATGATCTTAATATCTAACGTCAGTCAATTGATGATCTTACACGACCTTAACGATTGTCTTCGGCGGGTAACTGCTTTATGGAGCTTATAAAATGTATACAACGTTGCCATACCGAGTTGGTTTATGTAACTACTCTGTGTCTACCAGGAGAGTTGGCTAACTGGCCTTCTCCAATTCGCTTCGCCTTGATTGTACGCTTTTCATTCTCCTGTCTGTCTGCTTAAATGTACGCATGAAATAAATTCATCCGTGAAAACTGAATTTGGCTTCTTATTACCGCTATTGGACAAACAGAGTTTCCCAATGTATAATATTGTTAGGATATTCAATATCTAATATTCTAAGAGAATTATTGGTCAATTCCTATTGGTTAATTCCTAATGGTCAATTTTATGATCGTCCTAGATATCAATGTCACGTGCTCCAATGTTGTTTCTTATTGGTTGTCCTGACTATCAATGTCACAGACTTCAAAGCTGTTTCCCTAGTCCGGAATCATGATTCTCTTCTGGAATTGGACCTCATACTTTCTGGATGTTTGTAGAATACAGGTTCTACTTCATATCAAGTCTTGTCTTCTTTTACTCAATATGAGGGTTAGGACAATCGGATTAGAGTAGCCTGTAGTGTCGCCAGATCCTCACTCTCGTATTCCAACCTAGGTAAACTCGTCATAGTTCAAGCATATCAAATCGACATGTTTAAGTGCATTCTTATCAAATATACAGGAGTGGAAAGGAGGATTTATTTCATCACACACTTGGTCATTCGTCTAAACTAGAGTCAAGTCTCAGGCTACTAAATTGGAAAGCCCTACTACGAATTTAACGCAGCCATACCCGACATTGTTGAACTCCACTGATCAATACCTGTCACTAGGACTCTTAAACGATTCACTTGTGCATACGCTTTGTCCCATACTAGGACAATATGACCATCCAGTACTTCTTGGTTTCTTTCTAATGATTGTCTAACATTGACCGACTCATGTTTTCAATGAAACTCAACAACAACCTCCACAACCCTGTAGTTTCATTGATCAGAATAATTTCCGCTAATTTTAGTAAAATACAGATTCCAATTTAAAAAATACACGGTGTGGTGCGCGCTACTTATAAGTACTATATATGACGCGAGTAAAAATGTAATGTCCGGCAGCAGAAAATGGGGGAAGATCAAGAGAAAGGAAGAGTGGGAACACAATGGGATTTATTTGTATGAAACGCACGAACAGTGGAATATCAGACAATGGATGTTTGATGTTTGCAACAGCAACAGTCCAGTTCGATATGATGGATTGATATTTTGCAAATTAACGATTTACGATATGGTTTTCCTATTATACCAATTAACTCTGTAATTTGCGATAAATACAATTCATTTGCCCTCACCTGTGTTCTCCTTCACTACATTCGGTGTCGCTGCCTACACAAAGGATGAAGATTCCATGGCCGAAGAAATTTGAGGACGTAGATGTGCTGAGCTTCCTGAAGGAGTCTAAGGCCGCTGCGTAGCTGGTGGGTTTGAAGGATCCGAAGGCGAGGTTGGTGGTGCTGGGGACGCTACTGAGAGGTAGGGCAAAGGCCGTATACGACAGCTTGGACGGTACTGGCGAGAAGACGACATGGGAGACGGTCACGGAGCCGTTGATAACGAAGTTCGACAGCCCAGTGGACAGGGAGGAAGGTGGGAGGAGGTTGCAAAATATCAATCCATCATATCGAACTGGACTGTTGCTGTTGCAAACATCAAACATCCATTGTCTGACATTCCACTGTTCGTGCGTTTCATACAAATAAATCCCATTGTGTTCCCACTCTTCCTTTCTTGATCTTCCCCCATCTTCTGCTGCCAGACATTACGTTTACACTCGCGTCATATATAGTACTTATAAGTAGCGCGCACCACTACGGTAACCGCTTAAAATGCTTCTTTTGAAAACTTAATTGGTAAGTAATGTTAACTTTAAATTATATATCAGTATGTAAAAACATTCACAGAGAGAGAATTCTTCGTATAAATGCTGTATAAATCATGAGTTTTAAAAAGATGCTTTTACTCTCTCCATCTCTCTCTATCTCTCATTTATTTTGAAAGCATTGCAAATCGATGCGGAAGCCACTGAAGTAGCTTCGATGAAAGCTGAAACAATGGCCAATATAGTAATTGAGTTGACAAAGAAAGGTAAACTGTATTTTCCATTGATCTTTGTTGAAGTGATTTATTGTATTTTTTTCTCGGCATTCAATAACCAACTGTAAATTTCGATTGTAGGGAAGAATATAAAACTATTCGCGATGTAAATTAGTAAAACCATTTGACAACGTTTAGATTTCGGAATCAATAGAACATAATTACATATTTATTAATAAAGTTTACGGAATACCTATATTAAACGAGATTGTACTTACTTACTTGCTTACTTTCTTATGCTTGTAACCCGTCATAAAGCGTAGATCGCCGACCAACAGTCTACCTACCTACTATGTCCTGCGTCTTCTTTTCCATTTCTAACCAACTGCTGTTCATCCTTTTGACATTTACATCCGATTTACAGACCAGTGTGTTCATTGGTCAACCTGTTTTCCGTTTGCCTTAAGGATCACAAGTTATGGATTGTCTCGTGATGTAGATTGATGATTTTCACAATGTGTCTTTTCCACCTTTAGTGATTTTTCCAATTTTCTTCCACAGCTAGAGTCTGGTTTGTTGTCGCCTATAGTAAGTTGTTACTGGCCAACGGATGAGGACATCTTTGTGTAGACAACTGTTTGATTGGTGATTTTCACAGTTCTCTAACTTTCCTCTCCATATAACAGAGCGGTTCTGACGTTCATGTTGAAAATTGTGACTTTTGTATTGTTTGATAATTGTTTTGAGTTACAGATGTTCTTTGCCGATAGAATTTCCGCCCTTGCTCTGTACATCCATGTCTATACCTGTGCCTCGGTCCCCCTTGTTTACTGATGATGCCGACCACGCATGTAAAGGTTTGCACATTTTCCAAAGATTCTCTATCGAGCGTGATTTGTTCGGTGCGTGTTGTGTTGTATCGGAGGATTTCGCTTTCCCCCTTGTGTATGTTGAGACCTGCTTCTGCAGTGGCCGCTGCTACACTGACCGTATTCTCCTGCATTTCTCGTTGTGTTTGGGATAGAAGGGCTAGGTCATCTGCGCAGTTCAAATCGTCAAGTTGTATCCTAGCTGTCCACTCTATTCCATTCTGTCCCTTAGATATTGTGGTATTCCTAATTCAGTCAACTAACAGGATAAACAGAAAGGATGAGAGTAAGTAGACACCGATTTTTCACTAGAGTGAATCTATGGACTGTCTGTCTTTCACTGACGATTTAACAGTGTAGTCCGTTATAAGAATTCTGTTTGATGTTGACTATCTTCTCAGATTCATCTCTTTGCGTCGAAGGAGTTTCTACAACAAAGTAAGCCTGAATAACTTCCAGGAATACTACCGATCCCAAACATGGATAGAGCAAGAGGGTCGGGATTGGAGTAAGCTATCCTATCCTATCGAAAACAAACTTGTTAAAATAATCGTTGACCAGAAAAAATCATTTACAAGATTGTTAAAATCCTTACAGGAACGAACTCAATGTAGGAATCATGTTACTTGTCCAATTAAACTGAAGTAGAAATTTTACTTAAGAATTCTCAGCATATTTTCTACTCGTAATAAACACAGCGAATCAATAGGCTGTTAATTATTTTCCCCTTAATTGAACGTCACTCATTATTTAGTGTTTATGAACGGTGTTGTCTGTTATCTAATTCTAAATTATCACACATAATAAGGATTATTTAACTGTCACGATAATAATTATGAACTGAACCAAATCATGAATCGATCAATGTTCGACCAGCATTAGAAACCTGAAAGCACTGGACGGCCGTTTCATCCTAACCTTGACTCGGGTGAGGTAACGTGCGAAATCCCGAGATTGATCAGAGTTGGACAATAACACCTTTGGATGCTGGCCCAGTGGTCCAGAGCTCAAGCGTTCGCGCTCAAGATCGACGTTCTTGTGTCCGAATCTTGCTAGTTGAACGAATCTTGGATGCACACTGCTGATGAGTCTCATACAATAGGCTTTCAGGTTTCAAATAGTGGCCGAACAATGATTGATTCATGATTTGGTTCTTTTCATAATTATTCTCGTGACTTTTAAATTATCTTCAGTGGTAACGACTCTGACAGCAAAGCTAGATGACATGGAATGGTATCTGTTGGGCGATATCACTTCACGCAAACTACAGTTATACTTTGCTGATGAGTAGTGCCGAATTAGCACGAAACCTATGTTCAGGGTTTCTTGTCTACAATCTTGAATCACCATATACCTAAGAGGTAATTATGCACTAATCATAAGTTTTAACATTACAGTTTTTTCTATTCGCTTAAAATTTAGTTGTTAGATGATATTTTCGGGCAGAGTTATGGAGGTTAGTGCTTTTTTACACATTTGAAATCATCAATCAATCATTGTTAGACAACCATTAGAAACCGTTCCATCTTGGTATGGGACTCATCAGTAGCAGTGGGCATCTACGACTCCTGAATCTAGCAGGATTCGAACCAGGGACCTTCGGTATTTTGCGCGACCTCACCCATTTGTCTTCGGTAGTTACTGCCTACACCCGACAGGGTTGAACTCCACTGGTCACGTCTTCTCAACTAGAACTCCGAAAATGTCCTCGCGGAGCTAGTCACTAGTGAGCACATATTACGATATTTTCGGGCAGAGTGTTGGAGGTTTGTGTTTTTACACATTTGAAATCATGATATTTATTTTATGCTTGTTATTATTGGTAGCGCAGATTTTCTCATGTCAAATTTTTTATTTTCCAGGTTATCGAGTGAAAAATCCAGAATATGTACGATATAATTACGAGCATAAAACATTGTAAGTTTTTTTCATTCCATTTGAAAAGGTTTTGACTATCCCATTTCAAACATTTTCGACAGGAATTCGATCGAACTAAAGTTTTGCACAATCTTTGGTAGTTACCTCCTATAACTGAAAGAGTTGAACTTCACTAGTCGCGTCTTCTAACTAGAACTCCGAGAATTTCCTCACAAAGCTAATCATTAGTGAATGAGACTGAAGGTCCTTGATTCGATTCTAGAGAGCGTGGGTCGTGGATACGCACTGCTGAAGAGTTCAATAATAGTAAGAAGTAGTGACCAGCGAAGTTCATCTCTGCTGTGTAAAAGATAGTGGATCTCGAACTACCTGGGACTGATTGATCAGAGTTAGACATTAACACTGTTATATACCGGCTCAGTGATCCAGTGGTCAAACGTTTGCTCGCTAGACCGAAGGTCCTGGGTTAAATTCTGAGAATATCAGGATTCGTGAAAGCACACTACCTCATATATAGATGAATAGATTAAGGTACTCAGTTACAGAATATAGTAATGTTTTTACATAACCAAATATTCAATCAATCGTTGTTAGACTACCAGTAGAAACATGGAAGCACTGAGTGGCCATCTCGTCCTGGTATGGGACTCATCAGTAGCTCACACCCACAACTCCTGCACCTCGCAGGATTTGAACCCAGGACCTCCAGTCGTACGTGCGATCTTTTTTGACCTCTGAACCACCGGGCCGGCATTCAACGGCGCTAATGTTTAGGGATTTCATACAACCTCATCCATCTGTTTTTGGTAGTTACCGCTTACACCCGACAGGGTTGAACTCCACTATTCACATCTTCTCACTAGAACTCCACTAGAACTTCCTCATGAAGCTAGTCACTCGTGAGCACATTTTTACTTTTTTTTCAATTAGAGTTATGAAGATTAGTGTGGTGGTCTAACAAAGATTGCGGGGTTGTGAAGATTGTTAAGTTACACATTTTTGAAACCATGAATTGATCAATGTTAGACCACCATTAGAAACCTGGAAGCACTGGATGGCCGTTTCGTCCTGGTATGGGACTCATCAGTGGCAGCGCGTATCCACGACTCCTGGTGGTCTAACATTGATCGATTCATGGTTTCACAATTGTGTAACTTAACAATCTTCACAACCCCGTAATGCAAATTACCTGTGCTCACTAGTGACTAGCTTCGTGAGGAATCTTCTCCGAGTTCTAGTGGGAAGTTGTGACTAGTGAAGTTCAACCTGTTCGGGTGTAGGCAGTGTCTACCGAAGACTGTGTATGAGGTTGCGCAACTCCGTGAATTTGATCAAGTTAGACATTAACACCGTTGGATACCGGCTCAGTGGTCTAACGGTTAGGGCGTTCGCGCACAATACCGAAGGTCCTGGTTTCGAATCCTGCTGGTTGCAGGAGTCGTGGATGCGCACTGCTGATGGGTCCCATACCAGGATTTGATGGACGTCTAATGCTTCTAGGTTTCTAAAGGTGGTCTAACAGTGATCGATTCATGGTTTCAAAAATGTGATAAATTCAGTGTTCAAAAAACACTAGACTCCATAACTCTAATAGACAAAAAGAACTAACGTTTTTACATAAAATCCAAGATAACTCGGGGAACTAACTATTCGTGCCTAACCAAATTTCTACAAGCTCAATTCATCAAATATGAAATTTTTTACTGCAGAATATAAGCAGCTAATTATTATTGGAATGAATAGTTTGTCTCTAAGGCCAAGGTTTTTCGGACATTTGTATTTTTCAGGCTGGATAACTTAATTATTTCTGTATTAATCAACAAAATTAGGTGACCGAAATGACAAACTGTTTTTATTATGTCAATTATAACTAGATAATCCAATGTCCCTTTAACACAAAAACGTAAACATCAGTAAATTTTGCAAACTTTAGGCAGATGATAGGGAAAAAACTTCTGATGTGTGAGCATTAGTATTAGGTCAACATTCCCATTTTTATGACAGATAATTATCATAGTTAATGAAATTAATTACCAAACGTCAAACTTGATTGTTGTCAAACAAAAATTATCATTAGGGTTACTCATTAATTTACGATGGATAGGGTTGCGAAGTTGAGTTTCATAGAAATCATGAATCAATCAATTGTTAGATCAGCTTTAGAAACCCGGGATGGTTGGCCGTTCTGTCTTAGTAGGAGGCTCACCAGCATTGCACATCCACGTTGCATGCATGGGGGAAATGAACTTAGGAACTTCAGTCTCTCGTTAGCGGGTCGTGGATGAGCAAGGCTGATGAGTCCCATTACTTACTAACTTACTTTCGCCTGTTATCCCCAATGGAGCATAGGCCGCCCACCAGTTTTCTCCCACCTACTCTGTCCTGTGCTTCCCTTCCTAGTTCTGTCCAATGTTTGTTCATTCCTCTCATTATCTTTCTCTATTTCTCAGCGTAATATGTTCCTTGGCCTTCCTCTTTTCCTTTTGCCTTGAGGGTTCCAAGTGAGGGCTTGTCTTGTGACGCAGTTAGGTGCTTTTCGTAATGTGTGTCCTATCCACTTCCACCGCTTCTTCCTGATTTCCTCCTCCACTGGAATCTGGTTTGTTCTCTCCCACAGTAGGTTGTTGCTGATGGTGTCTGGCCAACGAATACGAAGTATTTTGCTTAGACAACTGTTAATAAACCCATGTATCTTCTGGGTGATGGTTTTAGTAGTCTTTCAAGTTTCCGCTCCATACAGTAGAACTGTCTTCACATTCGTATTGAAAATCCTGATTTCGGTTTTGGTTAAAAGTTGTTTGGAGTTTCAGATATTTTTCAACTGTAGAAATGCAGCCCTTGCTTTGCCCATCCGCGCCCTCACATCTGCATCGGATCCACCTTTATTGTCGATGATGCTGCCCAGATGATTAGTCCTATACTAAGATAAAATAGATGTCTGGTGGTTTCTGGTTTCTAACGGTTGTCTAAGATTGATCGATTCATGAATTATCGGGGACGTTAGATCCTCAGAACTCAGTTGATAAAGGTCCTACTGTTGGATTGTGTGTTTTCAGTGTATTAGCTGATCAGTTGACCTTGAGATTACAGTTCTCATTTGGAAGATCGTTGACTTTTATCGGTTGATGTAGTGTTTTAGTACACTATTTTGTGGCTATCCTAAAGACGTTTTTATGGCGTATAAATAAACTCGATTTGTGTGCTTTTCAACCTCATATTTTCTGAGTGCTTGTAGAATACACTTTCTACATCTTGTCAAGACTTTTTCCTCTACTAAGTGGTGTGGTGTGTGCTACTTATACGAACGATATAAGTAGTATAAGAAGGGACGTGGACGAGGTCTCACGTTGGGGCCTTGGAACGCTCGGATTAGAGTAGCCTATTATGTCACTGGATCACTTATCCTGACTCTCGTTTATCGACTAAGGTGAACTCATAATAGTAGTTTCAAGCATATCAACTGATAAGCATAACATGATTTATACTGAAATTGTTAATTAAGAGGATTTTTTTGGGTAATTATTTATGCTTAAGCACTATGCAGAACTTTCTCTAGTGTCGTATGAATGAATATTTGTATCAAGTTACCGAAATCATTTATCTCCAGAACATTCATTCTACAAAAAATTATTATTAACTATTTAAATCTCAAGTGAGAAATATATTGACCACGTTTCAAATCGATCATTGCCCTACATCACCTGTGTGTGTACTTGCTCTACCATTTCAGTTCACGTCAAATGAAAATCAACGACAGTCAAGTTGTAGAAATACGTCAAGTTCCATGGACTGCAACACCAGCAACAATTGCTCATTATTTCGCTGGTCTAAATGTTCATCCTGGTGGTGTAGCGATTCGGCTAACAGATGGACGACGTAGTAATACAGCGATTGTTGCCTTCGATAACTCAATGAATGCTCAACTTGCTTTCGCTAGAAATCAACATTATTTATGTGGTTCATTGATTGCAGACAGTGTGAATGGTGCATCAGATGTGAATGTCACATCGTCATTGACCACACATATTCCAAATAACAATAGTAGTAATATTATGAATCAAAATTGTGTAGGAAATCGAAGTGAATGTTCATCTGATGGTGTTCAACAGATAATGATGAATAGTAGTAGTAGTGGTAGTAGTTCAGTGAGACCAATGTATTTACAAATTCATACAGCTTCTGGAAAAGAATTTGTTCAGTGTACTGGATGTAAGTTGTAATGCTAGATCAATCAATGTTCATGATCAATTTTTAATTTTCATTCATTCAAACTAGAGTTACTCAGTAAAATAATCGATGAAGTGGTGAAACTTCATCAGTTGAGGTGGTTGGGACATGTGTTACGTATGCCGAACCACCGACTGCCTCGACGAGCTTTGTTTTGTAGTGTAGGAGTAGGTTGGAAGAAAGTTAGGGGCGGCCAAATCAAAACATGGCAGAAATCCATGAAGTCATTGACCAGTGGACTGAGTCATGTCGGTAATTGTCGACTACCTGGTTGGGGTCCACGAGATGATAATAATCGATGGTTAGAGACCTTGAATAACATGGCTCAAAATCGTTCGCAATGGCGCCGGTGCATTTATCCTTTGTGTTCTCTCAAACCCTAATCTTCTGGATTCGTCAACACCTCTAGTTTCGACTCTCTAAACTTTTCTCACTGAATCATACTTCTTGAATAGTATCTTCTAACCCTAACCTCTCCGATTACTTCTAATTCCTTTACTACCCCTTCTACTATTGGGTTTGAATTGACAATTACATCTCTGTGTGTCGTAATGTGGTATGGCAACATGAACTGATGTACTTACATCCGAAGTTCTACATTGCATCTGACTGACTGACTGACTCAGTAAAATAGGAAAACCATATCGTAAATCAGTAATTTGCAAAATATCAGTCCATCATATCGAACTGGACTGTCTGTTCCTGTTGCAAAACATCAATCCATTGTCACTATTCATGCGCTTCATACAAATTCCATTGTTTTCTAACTCTTCCTTGTTGATCTTCCCCCATCTTCTCTTCTGCCAGACATTACGTTGACACTCACGTCATATATACTACTTATAAGTAGCTCACACCACACTAGGACAGCATTAAATAAAGAAAACAGAAACATTGAACAGTTGTTTTACACAACGTTATATCTATTGATCCTTATTTATGTTGATTCTAAAATATTATTGGATGATACTATTGAAGATTTAACTGGCTATTCAGCAAAAGTGTTTGTACTTATATTTCAGAGATGTTGTCCACTCTGATTCAAACAACCAACACACACATAATAATTGAAATTCGTCTCACCATACGTGCTAGTAGCCATTTGAAGCTAAGCAAATAATATAGTGGCGTCTGAAGTGGACGGTGCTGGGTTCGAGTCCTGGAATGAACATTGTTACTCTCAGAAGTGGATACATCCAGCAAAAGACAAGTCCTGAATAAAACGAAACACATGTCGTGGATTCCACTCACTAGCCATTATCCACACAGAATGCATACATATGCCAAACGAGACTACTCCATTAGAGGAGACTTATTTTAGCATTCCTCATCAAGACATAATTAGAAATTTTCAATGTCAGTGACGTTAGTATCGATTCATGAATAGGAAATAATTTTCTGTATATTTATGACTAGTATATTTCTACTTTCAAGAAATTAATCACGATTTTAAACTTGTGACTGGTTTTAGAATGCCAATAGAGATGGCTTCATTACAATATGTTAGTCATTAGCATGGGGTCGTCTTTGAAAAGATGACCCGAACCCGGATCGCTAGTACAGTTCTGGACTCGAACCTCGTACTTTCTAGGTGTTTGTAGAATACAAGTTCTACTTCATATAACATCTTTTTCTATTACTCAATGAGGGTTAGGACACTCGGATTAGAGTAGCCTGTCGTGTCGCCGGATCCTCGATCCTCGCTCTCGTTTTCCGACTAAGTTAACTCATAGTAGTTCAAGCATATCAAATTTACGTGTTTACATGCATGCGTAACACTTTGCTTCGTCATTCGTCTGCTCTGTCTTGTGCCATTCATTTCAGTAATCAAACATTGTTCAACTTATCTCTGTGTTATTCTAATATTCAAAATGGGAATCTTGACGATTATCAAAAAGGCCGCAAGTACTGAATAGTATTATTATTATTATTTATGAATGGAAGGGTGTTGTTTCAATGTAACGAAAGATTCGAATTACTGACACATCTTTTACCAAAGGGTTATTAACATTCATCAACAGAATTCGTTATGTCAGTCAGTCAGTCATTTACAACGTGGAACTTCGTACATCAGTACATAATTTCAGGTTGCCATACAGCATCAGCACACAGACGCAATTGTCAATTCGAATCCCGTAGTAATAGAGGTAGAAGTATTAGTGGTAACGGGAAAGATTGGGGTTTGAAGATATGATTGGAGAATTAAAATTCAGTGGGATAAATTTAGAAAGAGAAAAAGAGAGATGATGAAGAATTCAGGAGGCCAGACTTTGAGAGAACACAATGAGTGAATTCATCTGCGTCACTGCAAACGATTTTGAGCCATTTCATTCAAGGTCTCTAACCATCGGTTACTTTGGTACAGCGGACCCCAACTATGTAGTCTACATCTACCAACATGACTCAGTCCACTTGTCAGTGACTACATGTATTTCTGCCATGTTTTGGTTTGGCTGCCCCTAGCTTTCTTCCAACCTTCTCCTACACCACATAACATAGCTCGACAAGGCAATCGGTGGTTGGGCATTAGTAACACATGTCCCAACCACTTCAACTGATGAAGTTTCTATAGTTCACAAATTGATCCGCCATCCTTACCTAGTACTCGTTTCCTAACTATAGCATTGCTTATTCGGTTGTCCCAGGATATACGAGCAATGCTTCGAAGACATCTATAATCGAATACTAATAACCTACGAATGTCCTCTACTCTTACCGGCCATGTTTCGCATCCATATAGTAGGACGGAGCGAACTGCTGCGCAGTACACTCGTCCTTTGGTTAGCAAACGGATATCTCGCCTACGCCATAGGTGACTCAGGTTGTCAAAAGTCAATCGAGCCTATTGTATCCATGCTGAGATTTCGTATAACACCACCCCAACAGCACTGATAAGATTCCCCAGATAAGTGAATCGGTCAACACGCTCGACTACTTCACTTCCTATAAGCTTTCGTTATGTAATAGTTTTAGACGCAATAAGAAATAAAAATCTTTAGAATAAAAAAATGAAAGATAGAATTGTCTACTTTGCGAAGGGAGACAAATGACGAAGATAATTACGAGTAGCACAAATAGTTTGTAAAAAAACATCCAAAGAGGTGCTAAGAACATGGGGAGAGTATGGAGTTGAACAAAACACATCTTCACATAGAGGTCAGCCTCCACTGTGCACAAATTCCTTATTCAGACCTTCTTTGAGCCGGTTCTTCTTCCTATTTAAAAGATCCTGAAAGAATTTAAAAAAGTATTTAAGAAACAATTTACGAAGTTGAACTTGTTGAGTTAGTAGTGAAACCACAGGATTCAATCCCATTCGATTTCTCTAATAAAATACGTTCAAGCTGTTTTTGAATGGAAATCACTTATTCCAGTTTACCGAAAATTCGCTCATCAGGTCATTGGCAAAAAATCTAATTCAGGTGGAACTCCACCTGGGGGCTTTCTTGAGGGTTACTGCCCATCTTGAACCCGAATGAAGTAGGCGAGTTGGGCATTGGACTAAACGACCCCATCTCGTAGAAAATTAACTCGCTAAATAGAAACTCCCAACCGGAACAAATAGTGAAGTGTGGGGAATTCCACTCCGCCTGCAGGTCCTCTGAGGCTACTACCGGTCACAAGGCCGGATAAAGGAGCAGAGTTGGGCTTGAGGTTGGCGACCCCATCTCGTAGAAAACTAACTCGCTAAAGAAACGCTAAAATACGCTCTAATCTCATGAAAAATACATTTTTACCGTAATTTTACTTTGAATGCGGTTCTATTTACTCGCTCATTATTATTATTATAATTGTTTTAGGTGATCAAGACTCAGTGACAAATTTTTTAAATCAATTAACCAATGGTGAACAAGTTGTTGTACGTGTACGTGGACTACCATATACAACGTGTAAAAAACAAATTGTAAGTTTGTTCGTTTTTTTTCCTGGAAATTTCGATTCATTTAAACAAAATTAAAATTGGCGCTTTATTGTTGATAGTTTAAAATTTAATTGACATTTGATTGAAATGAACCAATGAGCCAATCGGTCATTTGATGATTCAAAGACAAACAGGTACTTAGTTCATTTGTATTGATTGGTAGCTTGAATCTTATCATTGATGTTTTAGACTGTGACAGTGATCAGTTTCTTTTGGCCAATATGTATATCATGTGCGGATTAACTCGTTATTGTCATTATATTGCAAGCATTTTAGTCACAGAGATGGATAGTCGCTAGTGAGTGGAATCCACGACATGTACTTCGTCTAAGTTGGGATTTGTCTTTAGATGGATGTGCCTACTTCCTAGGGATGTGATATTCACGCTGGGATTCGAACCTAGTACCGTTCACTTCAGCTTCTGATTTCAGATGGCTACTAGATGATATGATGAGATGAATTACAATTAATATGTGTGTTGGTTGTGTGGAATAGACTGAACGACAACTCTAAGAGATAGATTCATCCAGCTGACGAGTCCTAAATAGGACAAAACACATGTTTTCAATTCTACTATTAGCCACCATTCACCGTTGCTTGTTAGACAGTTAAATCCTCAAAACTATGAGGATTAAAAAAACAATACACTCACATAACATTTTGTTACGCCTGCACGTAAACACGTCAACTTGATATACTTGAACTATTACGAGTTTACCTAGTCGGAAAACGAGAGCGAGGATCCTGCGACACATGTTATTCAAATCCGATTATTACAACCCCCATATTTAGTTAAAATAATAAGACGTGATATGAAGTAGAACATGTATTCTACAAGCATGCAGAAAGTACGAGTTCCGAATCCAGAAGAGAATCAGGATCCCTGACTAGGGATCCAGGACCGAGCCCTGGTCCTGGTCGTGGTCAATAAACGTTACAAATAATGCTTATTTATACATTTCGGTCAAATAGGAAACAGCATCGAAGTCGACTAATGGGAAGTGACATCGATAGTCAGGACAACCAATAAGAAACAGCATTGAAGTATCTGACTTTGACAGTTATAACGACCATAATTTTGACCAATAGAAATCGATCAATAGGATTTGACCAATAATAATTCTCTTAGGATATTGGATGAATAATTTAACACACTTATTATTGTGACTGGATGGGAAAATGGTTTTTATTCACTCCATTACCTAATTTCGTTCGTATACACTATGCCATATTCATTGTTACATCAGTACAGTGTTTTATGTATTGAAAATGGTTCTTACTGGTAAATAGATTTGCATGAAAAATTAAATTCTCAGCCGAAAGTAATATCAGTAGGTGGTTGTAGAGATTGTTGAGTTACGAACCAACCAGCGTAACACCACTTTTAGGCCTTAGAAGCACTGAAGACCTTCGAGGAGGAATTCTCGGAGTTCTAGTGAGTAGAGTTTACCCGCGTTTAATGTGAGACAGGTACCCACCGAAGACAATGGTTGCACAATATCTTGAATTGATCGATACTAGACTCAATGGCCTAGAGATTAGGAGCTAGTACTCAAGACCAAAGGTCTGAGGTTCGGTTCTTCAGTGCAGAGTATTGAATGTGCCCTTCTAAGTAATACTTTGGTAAAAACTTATAGACAACATGGTAAATCTGGTTCTTAGTTAATGAAATAAATATTTTTTACTACTGAGGTTAACATTTGTAGACAAAAGTGTTAGGTTCGTCACTCGGTACGCTTGAAGCTAATACGGGTTCACCTTGATCGATAAATGCGAAGGAGACAATGAACCAGCGTCCAAGTAGGCTACCTTGATACCAAACTGCAAAACGGAAGTCTTGATTAGCGTAGAGAGTATATTCTACAAACATCCAACAAGCACAATGCAATCAAGCACACAAATCTCGTTTATTTATATACATCATAGAAACGTCCTTGGGACAGTCCTAAAAATAGCACACTAAAATGCACAGCAGCCAATCACAATCAAGGATTTTCCTGTCTGGAAATGAAATCTCAAGTTCAACTGATCAACCCATGCTGGCAAACGTGAAATCCAGAATTAAGGCATTTATCAAGCGAGTTGTGAGGGATCTAACGTCCCGAACAAAAAGTCACAACTATGCTTCTCTTGTAATGAACAAATATTAGCTTAATTAGGCTTTTTATTGATTTATTGAAATCTCAGTGATTTCAATAAATGAAGACTAGATTTATTTGAAGCCATGTTGTATAAGCGAAGACTCATAGACTAAACTAGTTATTTAGTCTGAAGGTTTGTGAGAACTGTTAGATTTTCTGGTATAAATCACGCATTAAGTGTAGACAGACAATTATTGGTTAGAAGTATCTTAGAGCTACAGTTCTAGTGTGGGACTACTTAGAATTATGGATTCATGATTCCAGTGAGAAGCTATGATGAATGGAGTTTATCAATGTCGGATGCCTGGTGGTTTCGCGTCAGTAACAGTGAATGGTGGACACTAATTAGTGTGAATCAGTTGGCGGTAGAAATGTCAGTCAGGTGTAACGTCGAACTTCGTACGTAAGTACATCAGTTCATGTTGCTATACCACATTAGCACAGAGATATAATTGTCAATTCAATACCAATAGTAGTAGAGGTAGTAAAGGTATTAGAAGTAATCGGAGAGGTTAGGATTAGAAGATATTATTCAAGAAGTATGATTCAGTGAGAAAAGTTTATAAAGTCAAAACTAGAGGTGTTGAAGAATCCAGAAGATTAGGAGTTGAGAGCATTCGATACCCGCTTACCTATCTAAAAATTGAGTGTTTGCTTTAAGACCTACTGGTCTGATTTCGATCCCCAGTCAGATCATAATGAAACCAAACAACTAATCAGTACTTCCTACATTGTCTAGTTGTCTATTCAAAATTAATCCACAATGTTAAGTATAGGATGTGTCTTTACAATCCAATGATTTCAAAGGATGCTTCTGCTAGTGCAACCTTCTGCTGTGAACAACATCTTCAGGAATGCATCTACTGTTCATCATTATTACTTTTTTAGATGAAGTAATCTTAGATCTTTACTTTCCAAAGATCATGGCGTTGGGAATGACATTTTCCTTAGTTGTTAACTTCATATCAATGTATCGAATACAATGATAGATATTTGTCGCTTTAAGTTGTGTAAAGTCCTACTCGATACTCTAAATTTGTTATTTGCCTGTCAGATAAGAATTATTTTAAATGGAATATTTCTGTTTAACTTGTCGATTTTTTTCAAAGTGTCACAGAATTCCAGCTTACGTTTGATGTGTTTTTTTTCTAAACAGATATGTTTCATTCTATCCGTCATGATTTTGTCTTAAGCTTTCAAGTTATCTGTTTTAAGTAGTATAATGCTTTGATCGTTCATGCAAATCATGTATTGATAATCTAGTAATCTTATGTTTGCTTTACAAATGAAAGCTAAGGTTGACCTAAGCAAAACATGGCACAAATCTATAAAGTCACAGACAATTATTGATCGCTTGATTGGGGTGCGCGAGATAATAGACACCGATGGTTAGAGACCTTGAATGACATACCTCACAATCTTTTGCAATGTCGCGAATCTATTCACTCTTTCTCTTCTGAGATCCTAATCTTCCGAATGTCTCATCACATTTACCTTTGTCCTTTTTAAATTTATTTTACTGGATTATACTTGAATAATTTCTTCGAACCCTAATCTTCTCCATTACCGCTAATACTTCTACTACCTCTAACACCATGGGATTTGAATTGACAATCCGATCTCTGTGTGCTAGAGTGATATGGTAACTTGAACTGATGTACGTACATATGTACGAAGTTCTACGTTGTGGCTGACTTGCTAAACCTACTCTACCCTTCACTTACCTTTCCAATTCTACCCAGTGGTTATTCATTTTGTTCGTGTTTATCTCTAATTCTCAGCATAGTGTGTTCCTTAGTCTCCTTCTTTTCTTATGGCATTGAGCATCCTAAATCAAGACTTTCCTCATGATGTAATTGAGTGATTTCCGAAATATATATGTCCTATCCACACTTTTACTTAATTTCTTCATCAGCTGGAATACAGTTTTTGTTCTCTCCCACTGTAGTATGTTGCTGTTGATGTTATCTAGCCAATAGTGTAGGATTTAATTTGTCCTACAGATGTACTTCTAGAACTGTAAACGTAATATTGGCGAGCACAGAGTCTATGGGAAAGCTATAGAGTCAGAACAAGATCAACTTTTGCTTTAAACTTTATCTGTTTCTAAACATAAAAACAATTAGATTAGTACAATAAATAAAGGAAATTACAATTATCATCAAGTAAGACGGGCAAACATACCGACCAATAGTAGCGGCGTGTCTTATGGAAATCAATAAAACTATGAGTCACATCAACAATAATGTCCTTCAATTTGTAGGTCATTTACAACAAAGATAGTTTACAGACATGTCAGATCAAATCACGTGATGGGCGCTTAAACTACAATTTGATTGGTTAGTTATGACATAACCTACAATTAGTTATGGAAATAACTCTGAATAAATTTGATCAATCGATTTAATAAGCTTAAAATAGTTCATTTTTACGGCTTGAGAAGATTCAACTATATCAACTGTATAATGATTCACTTTTGGTGCAATTTCATGGGTTTTTAAGAAGCAGGAGACATCGGTAACAATCTAAGTTTTCAGTAATATAGTGATAGGCTGTGACCAGAGGAGTTCACTCATGTCCGGTGTAGGCAGTTACTCATTGAAAACAATGGGTGAGGTTACGCAATATCTTCGATTGATCAGAGATAGACATTAATACCGTTGGGTGGCCAGCTCACTGGTCTGGAGGTTAAGGACTCGCGCGCAAGTTTGAGGTTCTTGTGTTCGACGAATTCCTGCGAGCAGGATTGTGGATGCGCCATCTAGTACTTATGGATTTCTAATGATCGTCCAACAATTATTGATTTGTAATTCCCATGAAACGATTTAAGTAGTTTTTTCA